CTTCTACAACATTTCTATAGGATTAAGGGTAGAACTTTGATTTCACCATTCTAAACTTGAATCACATGACAACTGGAACTTTGAGAAACAGTTGTAAGTCTCCTTTTTCAGTGCCATTGTAACTTCAAATGGTTGCTGTACAAATGGTAGTAAATGAGGACTATCTGTAAATGCCAGTATTCAAGAAAAAAAATGGTGAAGTCATGTTGTTATGACAATTCTGAAAAATGTTGAAGCTGGAGTAGAGAGCTTTTCTCTGTTGGGAGAAATGCTAAAATATGTATACAGTATGCTTGTATTGTGTTTATGTAACTGAGCTTGTTAATGCTAAAGAATGTTGCTATTGTTCATCAATACAAAAAGAAATAAAAATTACAGTACAGTTTTGATTTGTTAAATGTGCCTGAGATAGTATTTGGTAGAATTGTGATTGAAAGAATGCAAAAGTTGTAATAAGCAAAATGAGGGCAGAGCTTCATAATTTTATCGTGGGCAGGAAGTAAGCAGATCCTGTTTTCGCTCTTTAGCAAATCATTGATAAATAAATGAATGTGAAAAAATTTGTTTTACATTGATTTAAAGAAAACATGACATAGGTTTGAATTATGGATTACTTTGCATAATCAAAGTTGCCTGCTGAATATAGAATGAATCTTACAGGATGGAAATAAAGTACGGATATGAATAAATGGAATACAGATAGTCCTCTACTTACAATAGTTCATTTAGTGACTAGCGAAGTTACAATGGCACTTATCATCATTTTACACACTTATGACCATTGCAGAACTCCTGTGGTCAGGTGATCCAAATTCAGACACTTGACAATTACTCATATTTAAGATGGTTGCAGTGTTCCAGGGTCATGTGATCATCTTTTGTGACCTTCTGACAAGCAAAGACAATGGGGAAGCCAGATTCACTTAACAACCATACTACTAACTTAGCAACTGCAGTGATTCACTTAAATACGGCAAAATGGTTGTAAAATGGGGCAAACGTCACTTAACTGTCTCGCTTATCAACATAAATTTTGGGTTCAATTTTGGTCATAACTGGAGGACTACCTGTATTTAACAAGTGGTTCAAGATTGAGCAGGAAGTTAAGAATAAGATGTATCATATCTGCTTCATTGTTTCATATATTTATGGATACATGTATAAAGAATATATGATGATATCAGAGTTATGTTAGTTGAAGACATATATCATTAAAAGACCTTTTTTTTTATGCCTCAATTCAAACATGACTTCTTATGGGACTGTTAGCTACAATGTGAGCCTAAGAAAAGACACATTATATATTTGCATAAATAGCTGCACATTCCTAATCTAGTGAACTAATGCAAGTTATACATAAATTATGGAATAGAAATAAAAATACATGCTGTGGAATTTGATTTGATATTTGCTGAAGATGGTGATATTAAAATGTTTAAATGGTGGCAGAAAAGTAATGGATAGTATGTGGTTTAACAATGGCTTATTAGACCATACTTCCATCTACTTTGTTAAATGGAGATTGGAAGTAATTATTCATCAAAACATACAAATAACATGTAGAGGGAACAAGGCACTTAAATGACTAGGTGGTGAATGAATGTGGCTTGAATATCAAGGGACTAATGAAATAGCTTGTAGAATAAAAATCACAAATATATAAAGGAAGACCAGTGGGTCAAGAGGAAGGGAAGTCTAAAGAAGTGATACTTAGGTGATGCTGACAAGATCCTCAGAAAGGAGAAGTTGATGGAAATTGAATGTTATATAAAATAAAACAAATAAAACATGAAAAAAAGGAGAAATTGAAAGAAAAAAAAAACATGTATGATTCAGTATTGGGACATACAAGTATGGTTTGTAAATAAGGATAAAAGAAACAGAATGGTATTGGCATAAACTAGGTTTTAATTATAGTTACATTTCTTTTGCTCTTGCCTTAGATTATTTATTTCTCTTGCTATTTCTTATTCTTTTCCTGAATTTTGTATAACATTTCTTACCATGAAAGAGGCTAGCATGATCGGTTATGTATGTAGATTAACTTGAAATATGTGTATACTTCATTGTAGACAATATATATTTTATACATTTTAGAGCCCTTTACTAAGAAATTTCATTCATTAATGTCAACAGAAAATGTTATTTACCAAACATTCCTTTCTTTTTACCCTCTGCTCATTCTTCGTATCTATTCCAAAGACTTAGGAGGAGTCTTAAAATAGATGTGAACACATGCAGTGAGACAGAAAGCAAAGTAGGTCCTGTTTCATGAACAAGGGCCCACTCATGCAACATTGGCTATATTAGTTTTATTCACAAGTTTTCACAAAAAACTCTTTTGTGATTGAATTTTTGATTCCAAAAACTGAGTGTTGTTTTAAGCAGTACCTAATTTTCCAATTGTTATCATTACCATGTTTCCCCGAAAATAAGACCCTGTCTTATATTTTTTTCAACCCCGAAATAAGTGCTTGGCCTTATTTTTGGGGAAGTTTTATTATTTTGGGGTGCATGGAGCAAGATGGAGCTCCTCTTGCTGTCTTACCTGATTTCCAGCTCTGCGTTTAAATATTTTTGGGGAGGGTTTATTTTCAGGGAGAGGCTTATTTTAGCGCATGCGCTAAAAAGCCCGATTGGGCCTATTATCAGAAGATGTCTTATTTTCAGGGAAACAGGGTAGGAAATATCTGACCGGCAAGTTCATTACAGTAAATGGATCTAGGAAGCCTTCTCAGCCTTTTTCCACTGAATGGATTGTCAGTGACGAATTGTTTATGATGTCTCAAACACGATCTTTAACATGAAGCAGAAATGAAGCTGTGGTTCAAATAAATTAAAATAACATTTATTTTCTTGAATATTCGCAGTATTTGGATTTCATATTTATGTTCCTATTTTTGTTGTTAGTTTATTGGGCAGACAATGCTGGACAGTTTTAACAATCTATCTATGCTTCCTGAAGGTGGCGAGACTATTTTCACAATGATTATGTCTAAGACACATCATTTTATTAAAATTGAGAATATCTACAGAAATTCTGAATCATCCATATCATAGTTATGCTAGATGCTTTTCCAAAAGGCAACTGGGATTTCCTGGGGTTTTTTTTCCTTTGAAAGCATTTCGCTTTTCATCCATGAAGCCTCTTCAGTTCTGACGTGGGAAATAGAAGGATTTATATTTATATGCAGTCATCTGGATAGTAGCACTCTAGGGGTTGGTTGTTAGCTAAGAGTGGTTGGGGATTTATCTGTATCCTCAAAATCACTTGAATCAGATTGCAAACGTGTGGAACTTCCTTGGGACGGTGTTGAAAGGACTGTTATAAACAAGAAATAGGTGGTGTCATATCCCTCCCCTTCTGTTAAGAGAGGGCTCTTTAATTTTAACCTAGATGGCCTCTTTGACCCGGGGTGAAATCCATCAGGTTCTGACAGATTCTGGACAACCGGTAGCGAAAATTTTGAGCAGTTCGGAGAACCGGTAGTGGAAATATTAAGTAGTTCAGAGAACCGGCAAATACCACTTCTGGCTCGCCTGAGATAGGTGGGAATAGAGATTTTGCAATATCCTTCCCCCAGGAGTGGAGGGAATGGGGATTTTGCAGTATCCTTCTCCTGGAGTGGAGTGGGAATGGAGATTTTGCAGTATCCTTCCCCTGGAGTGGGGTGGGAATGGAGATGTTGTAGTATCTTTCCCCTGCCACACCCACCAAGCCATGCCCACCAAGCCACGCCCACAGAACCAGTAGTAAAAAAATTTGGATTTCACCACTGCTTTGACCCCTTTCAAGCCTGTGGTCCTATCAAGAATGTGAACTTTGCTGTCTTCAAAAGAGTAATCTTTGTCTCTTAGATGCAGATGCTGAATCTTGTCCTAATGGGTTTATTCTCCTAGGTTGTGTCATGCATTTGTGAAATTGAGAAATTTATGCTCTTTGTAATAATAGGCACTTAAGAGTATCCACTCAAAAGATATAGAAATCAGGAACTAGGCCTGCAAGAAAAAAAGACAAAGCCCATGAGAGAATTGCCTGATACTGCATAGAAGCCCTTTTCAACCCAGGATTACCAATCCTATGAAGGCAGATTTAGACTCAGAATATTTTGCCTATTGTGTCTGTCACAATAGGTTAAAAACAAAAACAAACAGCAGAAATCCTGCTAAGAAATCCCCAGCCTATGAACTGACACAATATAGATATCTCTTCAGAGATCTTTTGTAGTCTACAGATTGGAGAAACAGATTTGGAGAAAGACAGATGGTCGTTATTTGAGAATTCACTAATTTTGTATGTATCTCTAGTTTATAAGAATATATGATGGTTTTAATGGTATCTATGATGGTATTAATGTATCTGTAGTTTTGACTTTTTTATACTTATGCAAAATGGGAGATGGGCTTTTCTTACATGCAGAAAGTACATTTTCAATATTTCATTATCTGTGATCGGTTGGCTAGAATGGAGACTCAGCCTTCTATGAATAAGCTGTCTACATACATCATACTATTTGTTGTATTTCAAAATATATTAACAAATTCTGTTAAGCTACATTAAGATGCTAATTCCTGCAGTTTTCTTGTCAAGATTTTTCAAGTAGTTTACAACTGCCTTCTTCAGAGTTGAGAGAGTGACTGGCCAAAGGTCACCCAGTTTCCTTTGTGCCTAAAGCAAGACTAAAGCTCATGGTCTAGTCAGATACCTTAATTACTTGCAGGACACTGAAAACAGCAACAAATTTTCTACTGGTTCTATTCTGCTGCTGTTACATTATAGTTCTTTGTTATGTGCATCTAGTAATAAATCTATCATTATCTGATGACATTGTCTACTGTTTTTAGTGTTTCAGGTAGAATGTATCGTTTTACTTATTTCCATGTTGATGCTTTTTGCTTTATTTTATATACTAGTTGACCCCAAAGTTATATCAAAATGATGAATTTGGCTTAATGTGTAAAATATAAAGGTTAAAAATAATATACGTTTTAAAATAAGATACATGTAAATCCAAAAGAATTTAATAAGTTACTTGCAGTGTTATTGCAGGCAACATTACACAGTTTTAGTTCCAAATCCACAAAAACACACAAAATTCATACAAATCAGCATAGTAAAAATTAATGCCTTAAAGTCTTTGCTGGAAGAATTAATTTGTAAATTCTAGAATGGGTTTTTCTTCTATTTTTCTTATTTTCTTACAAAAGATTTACAAGTGAAATATTACTACAAAATTTTTATAAGGGTTTTTTTTTTGCAAAACATTTACAATTTGACCATCAACTATTTCTGTTTCAAGATAATTATTTTTTGTAACACATCCATTTTTGTGGGATGACAATTGTGACATGCATTAACAAAAAACACAAGGCATCAGAAATGGAGACTTAAGTACAAATTTTGTTGCAATAAACAATTATAAAATTGAAAAACAGGATTCAAACATCATGCTTACCTAACAAAAACTTTTTCTAAGTTACGTATTTTGTTACTTTTCTCATGAAGCAATGTGATAATGACATAACACCGATTTGTAATGTAATCAGAAAACACGTATACAATCCTATCCCAATAAAGTATAATAAAAAGGGGAAAAAAACTGTTCCAACGCTGGAATTCTATCATGATAAATACACTTTGCACTTGTAAATACAATAAAGCAAAATTTCATAATGGTGGCCAAGGGATGAATAGTGAAATGCCATTAAACAAGCTACTACTACACATCTGTGCCCTATTACATACAACAGTTATATCCCACCAAGTCAAATAAAGGACACTGAAATTTACGATTCTTCCAAGAGTGAAAAGTGGACTCAGAACGGTATGCAGAACAGACTATCAAAATGTTTTTAATTCCAAGAGTAAGAAGTGCACCTGCTAAGACAAATTTATCTATATTAGATTTTGTGACACCGAACAAATTGATATACTTGCCACAGATTACAATAATTTTCATTTCATATTTGCATACTTAACTACGCAAAAAGAATGCTTAACAATTGTGCAGAGTACTCAACCTTTTTGTTTATAAAGTATTTTTAAAAATCTATTAACATGATTTTATTAGGAAATGTCTTTTGCTTAAGTATTTTTCAGCACTGATTGTAAAGCATAATGTTAAATATTCATTTGATATTGAAATTCATCTACAGCAGAAAATTAGTTATTATCTAATTATTATCTATATTAAATATATTGTCAATTGATGTTTTAAAGCCAGATATATCAGTTGAGAATATTTTAAATAAGATATACAAAATGATAGAAAAAATCCCAACTAATATTTAAAGTGTGTTAAATCTTTATAAAGGCTGTAAGAAATTTAAAATTTATAACCACAGAGTAAATTTTTTTCTTTATTATATATGCGAGCTCAAAGTATGAAAGACTTCCAGCTTTATATGTCACTACACAGGGCATTCCTAAAGTGTACCTAGTACAAACAACTACCAGTAGATCTCTCTTTAAAAATGCATGCAATGTCACAAAACTGGGACTTGTATACATTTATAAAAGTTGCTTGTTTGAAGTTTCAAGCAGTTCCCAACACATTGTTAAAGGAAGTTTTAATTGCCTACACTGTATTTTTAAGTTATCCAAATATTTTATTGTAAAAATGTAAAAAGTGTTTTTAAGAAGTTTTCAACAGGATAGATTGCAAAACATAATTTTTATGTTGAAATTGTTTAAAAAGTACTCAAAAAGTACTTTTAGCCATATTATTTTTTCTGCATTCAAATTTATAACAATTGCCACAAACCAGCAAAAGACAGCAGCACAGGAAAAATGTTCACAACACAATTAAGATAGATGGAGATTCCTGTCATAAAGCTCATCTAGATGCTAACAATTGATATATACACAAAATGTGCATTCCTTCCAAAGGAACCAAATTGGATGAATAGCATTCAGTAAAATTCCTTGCAAAGGAACCAAATTGGATGAACAGCATTCAGTAAAAAGAATGCTGGATCTGTAACAATTTTCATTTTGTTTTACTATTTTCAGTGAGCTGTTATTAAAGAAACCCATGTTACAGACACAACACCTTCACACATGTTCAGAATATATTTTATTTCTGAAAAGTGAAAAAAAAAATTTCAGTATTTACTGGTTTGTTTAGTTTCTGTGATACAGGATGCGGAAACATGTAAAAATTTGCTAGACTCCAAAAAACTTTTACAAAATACTCTGTGCATACAAATTGTTATATCAATAGAAGAGAACACATATAACTCGGGGTTGGAACTGTGGAGTCCTTCTCTTGAGCTTGGGGTGGTTTAAGAAGACATTTCGCTACCAGACTAGGTAACATCTTCAGTGCTGGGAGGAAGTAGGTTTTGTAGCAGCTTGCCCAGTAGCGTGGGGACAACATTTTCTTCTTGGTAGTTCCTTGACCACACTGTTATTTACTGCTTGATTGTCTGGTGTTAATCCCTGCTTTCCTGAGTATTGATTGGTGGAGACATTTTGACTTTTTTGTTTCCTTTTAGCTATAAGTGGCTGTTACAGATCTAAATTGGGAATACCAACTCAGACAAATAACCTGTCAGTATACAAAAGGCTAATCAAGGGACTACCAAGGAGAAAACTACAACCCAACCACACTAAGAGGGCAAGTTACTGTACATAAACAGAGATCAAAACCATTCCTTCTAGCACTGAGGATGTTACCTAGTCTAGTAGCAAATAACTAAGCTCAGAGGGCACCACAATCTGTTAAGTGGCACAAGATTTTTTTTTCAAAGGTAAGAAAAGGTTGAATCTTCTTATTTGTTGGACAGAAACTCTTGAGCAAACCAAAATTAGCTCTTTGGATCCCAGCCAATATTTTTCATAAGGAGCAAAGGTAATAATTACTTCAGAGTTATACTTTTGGTTGCTAATCTTTTTCTTTGGTTAGTTTGGTTAATTCTAAATTATTCAGTACATTTACCCTAATGTTTGCTATTGAAAAAAATGTTATAAATGGTGCATAAATGCTACATTCTTATAACATTCTACTTCTCATTATCTCCAAGTGTTGAATAAAATTTAAATATTTAAATTATTTGCTTCAAAACAGAGATTAAACACTTTTTAAGAATAGATCCTGTATCGTGAAATGGGATGAATTAAGATACAAGATTTGTAACACATATTATCAAATTTAATTTTTACATAGAAATTAAAGTTTTATGTTTAATATATTTCTGAAATTCAGTATTTACTACAGAATACACTGGCTCTGTAGATCTCTCATCTCTCCTAGAAAGAGAATAATCCGTATTTACTGATTGTCATTATATACACTACTATAATGTAGTGGCCAAAATTATCTGAGATGTACCTCAGATCCATTTCATATGCTGCCATCTGATTTTTAACAAATGAATAAAGATGGCCCAATTTAATATATATGTCTCACAAAGAAAAAAAGTTTCATCTTCATTAGAGTACTTTATTGTGCCTTTTGGACAAAGTCAATTCCCATGAAAATACTAGTTTTTTTTAAAGGAAAACTCTAATCAGCAGCAATTCTGTTGCATATTCTTAAAGTTTGTTGCTACAACAAACATTTACATCTCATCCTGGAAGATAAATCCAATCAAAAATTATTTATGTGATACAGAGCTACAGAAATCAGTGCTGTGTGGAAGTAATATTTTCCTAATCTGTTTTATCCATAATTTATCTATATAAATTGGTTCTACTTTCTTTTTTTAATGTTGTCTTATTGTACAAAGTACACTTTCTATGCTAATTTTCCAGCTTGGAATACTTATAGTAATCAAGACTGAATACATGATTTCCTGCTCTGTAATACACTTTTACCAGCCCACTTCCATATCTTGAAAAGTATGTAAACTTAAGTGCAGTTCTAGGCATCTACGTAATATTATTTCAGAATTCCTCCATGTTTGCTGAAACATTTGGAGTTGCTGGATTTGAATCTTGAGAAATGGCTGCTACTGCGACAATCCTTGGAGATCCAAGAACCTCAGTAACTGAAGGGTCCAATTCACCTGAAGTAACGATAGCAAGGGCTGTTCCTCCACCCTTCTTGTTCTGATGTGTTTTGACATGCTTGGAGAGATGATCACTTCGCATAAATCTTTTAGAACACTCTGGACATTCAAATCTTTTCTCCCCTGTCAAGAAATGTTCAAATTAACATCATGGGCAATCATCTAAGCATAAAGTAGTGCAGTGTCATGACTAACATTTTTCCCCTGTAAGTATAATCTTCAATTTAACAATCTGATGGGAGAAAGAGGTACGGTATCTGTTAAAATCAAGTGCTGCTTAAAGAGCCAATTAGAATTTTTGACGGGAGAGAAGGAAAAGTGCTGGAGAAAACAGAAAAGATGTGGGCTACTGGGATATGATTGCTGGCAGTGATGGGGATAAAAGATTAGTAGGGGAAGTGTTGTATGTTGCAAAGATTTTCAGTTTAGATTATGAAGTCTGCCAAATAATTTTATTAAACTGAAGGCTTATTGTATTAAAACATATATTCAAATGATTCTGAATGGAAAATATTTGTACTGATATTTTAAGTGAAGTTAAATACACTGAAGAATTTTAAGTAACTGAAATACTTGTATATAAAGTATAATACTCACACCTCCTTGGGTCCTTTCTTCCTTTTCTTTACAGTTATGATCAATTCGAAACATCTTAAATAGCTCTATATTTATGTATTTCTAAAGTCTTTGTCATATACAACAAAGAACACAAGCAAACATAAATTAAGAACATCCTATATATCAACACCAAAACATAAAATGTCTTCTACATGCACTTAACTGAAATGAAAAGCCTTGAATGTTTCTTTTTGCAGTGAAAGCATTTTAAAATATTGGCCCCACAACTAACACAACAAAAAGATTATTCCTGATTGTTTTACAGTTAGCAAATTTAGGAAATACAGAGATTTTTATGGTATAATCATGAAAGCCTCTAACAATAATTGCAATAGTTGAGTAGATGTATAAGAAGACAATTCAAGAGAATTCTGTTTCTAGCTCATTTAAACACTTCTAGGTTAATACTTCAAATCTGAATCAAGCCTATTAATAATCAGTAGCCCAATGTATAATTTTGTTATTAGCTATATGCGCTGCACCATAATTTTTTGTTGCATTGTTCACTTACAACAGCATCTATGTAGTGCATACGAGTAGCACTCAATGAGTAATTGTAACACAGAAATGAGATTATTAATAGCAATAGCACTTAGTCTTATATACTGCTTTATAGTGTATTTAACACTTTCTAAGTGGTTTACAAATGTCAGCATATTGCCCCCAACAATCTGGGTCCTCATTTTACTGACCTTGGAAGGATGGAAGATTGAGTCAATCTTGAGTTGATCAGGATCGAACTAGAGGCAGTGGGCAGAATTAGCCTACAATACTATATTCTAACAACTGTGCCATCACAACTCCTAACATTGTTAAAAATCATAAAATATACTCTTTGCGATCAGAGCAACTTGGCCTTCCAGTAAAATGTTTAGTCTATGAGCATCTCCAACTCCATTTCTGTCTAGAAAGTTCAATTACAGGAAATTATCTGTATCCTATATCTAGAATTGACAGGCCCAGAAATTCTCTGTTACCAGGATCTATTTATGCTAATTAGATTTTACTGAGCTTGTCACTATGTCCTGATTCAGATAAGTCTTATGAAATAAGCTGTATTTCAGGAGGATGCTGATGACATTATTCTTCAAACTGTCTAAGAAATAATCTGAGGGTCATCAGAAATAGGGTAGGAATTTCCAATGCAATACAACTAAGAAAAGCCAGAAAGATTTACTCTGTGACCAACCATCAAATAGGAGTGCAACCATCTCTTTCCTCTCTCACAAGGATGATCAGTCAACAGTGCTAAAAGCAATTATAATTATTCTTAAAGGTTACCAAGAAATCAAGCAATTATTAATATTTCTATTCTTTAGGACAGGATACTTATCATAGCCAATTCAATCCCAAAATAAGATCTTGAGTCTAACTGAAATGTGTTCTAAAATATTGGTTTTCTACAGGTTTCTTTCAGTTAGTCCACCACTATTTTTTGAGTATCTTCCCAAACAGAAATGCAATGACTAAGCAATCATGATTCAGTATCATCTTTTTAATTGTTAAGATATGTATTCTTTCAGTTAGCTTCCAATTTACATCTTGTACATCTAGCCAAAGCATACTCTTCATACAATTTCCCACTGTATCTTAAGAATTGAATTTGAAATTATATATTGTAAAAATCAACATGGAAAGTAACACTAAACTTCAGAAGAAAATATCTGAATACCTACTACCCACAGCAAGTTACACTATACTATTTATTATCAGTTAATTATAATTTTTTCAAATACAAACTGAAAACAAATTCACCAAATAACATGCAGGATTTGATCCCAAAAATACTCACTTAATCTCAGGGATAGAGAACTGAGAAATTGTGATTATTCAGTAAATGTAAAAATAAATAGTAACACATATTGTGATACTGCTCACATGTGTATCCCAATTATTTTAAAATAGTAATTGAGCTTTCATTTCCAATAATCTAAAAAAATTAAGCTCAGTAAGGACTCTGAAGTATTAATTAGTAAGTTCTGATTGAAGGAAATATATTCAAATGTTATATAAGTTTAAAAGTCAGAACATTAAAATGTAAACAAATTTTATTTTTAAAATTATTTATCTAAGCTGTTCACTCACCTGTGTGGGTTCGTCTATGTCTCTGCAATTCATCACTTCTTGTAAATCTTTTCCCACAGAAGATCCAATTGCACACAAATGGCCTTTCCCCTGTATGCCAGCGAAGATGTGCCCGAAGATGAGATGTTTTCCCATATACTTTACCACAGCCTTCAATATGGCAGATATGTTGTTTCTTTTTTCCGGGTTCATTGCTACTTCTATGAAATACAAATCACTATTAGTTAAAGTCAGATCAATTTCAAATAAGGGCTATGTTAATAAAAATAATGTCATTAAAGATGTAATAGAAATATGCAAGCAGAATAAATGCTTTGATCCTAAGACATTTCATATTTAATAGTAATTATGGCAAATACCTTCCATCCCCTTCTCTACAATTAGGACATGAACAAGCAACTCTTCTTAATCTTTTGCCAGGCTGTACTTCTTGATCAGATGCTTGCTGAGCCTGTTGCAGCTGCACTTGAGTTATTTGATCAGGACTAACTGTACCCATTGCTGCATTAGCTATACCTCCAACTGCTACAGTAACAGGAGCTATAGTTGCTTGCTGTACTTTCATTCCTCCATCCTGCCCTTGTTGTTGACCTGGAAAATAAGAAAAAAATTCTTATTTAATACAGCGAGATCATAACATATTGTTGTACCTTGTTTACTACATAAAAATCAGTTCTAAAGGTATATAAAAGCAAGCCATACAAATACATTTTGTATACATATTTCAATTGTATTAAACCCCAATTTTTTAAATTAAATATGATGTTATTAATACTGAAACATAATCTCTGCTAACTATAAATATAAAGTAACTTATGGAGTGACAGAATTTCTGAATTCTTTATCTGAGATTGCTATTATGGCTGATGGCTGCAGTAATTTCCACACTGCATAGTAAATACTGGAGTATAGATAATGGATCACTAGGTAGATCTTGAGCTTTAAACAGGCTATCTAATCAGGCTTTGGATCTTACTACCTTTTTTTCTTAGTCAAAGTAAAAGCCAGTGAATCATCTTCTTTCCTTTGTTCTTTGAAAAAAAATAAATACTGAGTACTTGGTAGTTATGTATATAGGGAGAACCCAACACTTCATAAAGGCCTATCTTTATGACGGGCGTTGGCACTCCGAGAGGTGGCATGTCGCAAAAAGGGGATTGAGGGGTTTTTTAGGGAAACTTTTTGATAGATTTTTAAGGGATTTTAAGGGGTGGGAGGGTTGTGTGGGTTTGGGGGTTAACCCACAGGGGGAGGGGTCCGGCCCAGCTGTCAGTGGGGCCATGGAGGGTGCGGATTCTGGGGGTAAGGGGGACATTAGAGTCCATTCTGTTGAAGGCTTTTCCATCAATGCGCTGAGTGAGAGGGGCAGATATGGCGGGAGCAGGGGGCTGTATCATGTGGTGGAGGCACGCACTCGCTATCTTCGAGCGGTGGCGCGCCCCGGTCTCCATAGCCCTTCTCGCACCCCAGGCTGTTCAGACTCTCGGGGCCTGAGCCTTCGGCTGCTGTTGTGCAATGCCAGGTCCGTGGTAAATAAAGCCCCCCTCATTTGTGATCTTATTCAGGAGGGGGAGCGGACCTGGCAGGTATCACGGAGACCTGGTTGGGCCAGGAGGGGGGAGTTCCCCTCGTAGATATGTGCCCATCAGGCTTCCGTGCATTCCATCAGCCGAGAGCTCGGGCAGGGGCGGGGGGGTGGCGGTTATTATAAAGGAAGGTCTTGATCCGAGGGAGACCACTGTTCCACAGATAGCCGGATGTGAGTCCCTTTTTGTGAAGTGGGGCCGTGGAGTACAGATGGGCTTGTTGATCACGTACCTGGCTCCCTGCCACATGTCAACGGCCCTGCTCGACCTGCTCAACGTCATAGCCGAGGTGGCGGTTGATACCCCCAGACTTTTAGTCATGGGGGATTTCAACCTGCCATCTATCGGTGAAACGTCTGAGGTGGCTCGAGAGTTCATGGCTTCCATGACGGCCATGGACCTTACTCAGTTAATTCATGACCCTATTCACACGGGTGGACACACTCTGGACTTAGTTTTTGTCTCTGGTCAGTGGCCGAGTGGCCTTGATACAGGGGATATAGTCATCAAACCCTTGTTATGGTCTGACCACTCGCTCCTTCGACTGGACTTTCTAACCGCTGCACCCCGCTGCAGGGAGGCGGGACTGACCAGGTGGTTCCGCCCCAGTCGCCTGAGGATCCTGATAGGTTCCAGATGGAGCTTGGGCCATTTCCTGAGACTCTAGCTCATGACTCGGCTGAAGACCGGGTGGCCGCCTGGGATAGTGCGGCCGTGGGGCTTTGGACCGTGTCGTTCCTTTGCGGCCTCTGACCCGGCACCGAACTCTAGCTTGGTTCTCCGAGGAGCTGGGAGATGAAGCGCCGGAAAAGACGCCTGGAGAGTAGTTGGAGGACCAGCTGCACCCCGCTGCAGGGAGGGGGGACTGACCAGGTGGTTCCGCCCCAGTCGCCTGATGGATCCTGATAGGTTCCAGATGGAGCTTGGGCCATTTCCTGAGACTCTAGCTCATGACTCGGCTGAAGACCGGGTGGCCGCCTGGGATAGTGCGGCCGCTGGGGCTTTGGACCGTGTTGTTCCTTTGCGGCCTCTGACCCGGCACCGAACTCACCTAGCTCCTTGGTTCTCCGAGGAGCTGAGGGAGATGAAGCGCCGGAAAAGACGCCTGGAGAGTAGTTGGAGGACCAGCCGCTCCGAATCTGACCGAACACTGGCAAGGTCTCATATTAAGACCTACCTAGTGGCGATAAAAGCGGCGAAATCCAGCTATTTTGTCGCTCTTATTGCGTAATCAGATAATCGCCCAGCCGCCCTGTTTAGGGTGACCCGACCCTCCTCCATCTGGAAGCGCGGGATGATCCCTTGCAGGGTCGAGCTGAGGATTTTGTGCAGTATCTGTATGACAAGATCGCTCAGATTTGGGAAGGCCTGGCCTCTGACTGGGTAAATCCGGACGGGATGACTGAGGCAGGTCTTGAGAGTGTTATCTGGGAGGACTTTGATCCTGTTGCTCCTGAGGACGTGGACAGGATCCTGGGATGGCTGAATGCGACCACATGTTTATTGGACCTGTGCCCCTCCTGGTTGGCACTGGCTTCCCGGGAGGTTACACGAGGCTGGCTCCAGAGGATTGTTAATGCTTCTCTGAGTGAGGGGGTCCTGCCAGCCGCTTTGAAAGAAGCGGTGGTGAGGCCCCTCCTCAAGAAGCCCTCTCTGGATCCGGCTATTTTGGCTAACTATCGTCCAGTCTCCAACCTTTGCTTTGTTGCGAAGGTTGTTGAGAGTGTGGTGGCACGGCAGCTTCCCCAGTATCTGGATGAAGCTGTCTATCTAGACCCGCTCCAGTCCGGCTTCCAGCCTGGGCACAGCATGGAAACAGCATTGGTCGTGTTGGTGGATGATCTCTGGAGGACTCAGGACAGGGGTTGTTCCTCTATCCTGGTCCTGTTAGACCTCTCAGTGGCTTTTGATACCATTGTCCATGGTATCATGTTGCACCGGTTGAAGGGGCTGAGGGTGGGGGGCACCGTTCTGCAGTGGTTCTCCTACCTCTCTGACCGGTCGCAATCTGTGTTGACAGGGGGGCAGTGGTCGACCCCAAGGCACCTTGCTTGTGGGGTGCCACAAGAGTCGGTCCTCTCACCCCTTCTGTTCAACATTTATGTATGGGTGAGATCATCCGTGGCTTTGGGGTGGAGTTCTATCAGTACGCTGACGACACTCAGCTGTACATCTCCACCGCAGGCCACCCCAAGGATGCCCTTGAAGTGATGTCCCAGTGCCTGGAGGCCGTGCGGGCCTGGATGGGGAGAAACAGGCTCCGACTCAACCCTTCCAAGACTGAGTGGCTGTGGCTTCCAGCGTCCCGATATAGCCAGCTGGCGCCATTGCTGGCTATTGGGGGCTAATCACTGGCCCCCACGGAGGGCTTGCAACTTAGGCGTCCTCCTGGATGCACGGCTGTCTTTAGAAAAACATATGACGGCCGTGGCCAGGGGGGCTTTTTATCAGGTTCGCCTGATACACCAGTTGCGGCCCTTTCTGGATCGGGACTCCCTACGCATGGTCACTCAAGCACTCGTCACTTCCCATCTGGACTACTGCAATGGTCTCTACATGGGGCTCCCCTTGGGGTGCACCCGGAGGCTGCAGTTGGTCCAGAATGCGGCCGCGCAGGGGATTATGGGAGCGACGGGGCGCTCACATGACACTCCTCCTGCGCGAGCTGCACTGGCTTCTTGTGGTCTTCCAGGTGCGCTTCAAGGTGTTGGTGACCACCTTTAAAGTGCTCCATAGCTTAGGGCCGGGGTATTTGCGAGACCGCCTTCTGTTGCCAATAGCCTCCCACCGACCAGTTCGCTTGCACAGAGAGAGCCTCCTCAGGGTGCCGTCGGCCAGACAGTGCCGGCTGGCGACCACCAGGGGGAAAGCCTTCTCTGTGGCAGCACCTGCCCTCTGGAATGACCTGCCCCCTGAGATACGCACGATATCAGACCTCCGGACTTTTTGTCGGGCCCTGAAAACACACTTATTCCATCTAGCCGGGCTGGCTTGATCCCATCCTCTCAGTTTTTAATTGAATTCGGTTTTAATTGGGTTGTTTTAAATTTTAGGCCAAAATTATTTAATTGTTTTTTAAACTGTTTTTTAAATTTTATATGCTATGTTTTATCTTGGCTGTACACCACCCTGAGCCCCACAGGAGAAGGGCGGTATAGAAATAAAATAAAATAAAATAAATAAATATAACTGGCACCAAGTTTGATGATGCCATCAAGTCTGAAGAGTGTTTTGAAACTAGATAAGCTTCTAGGATAAAAGATAAGAACTAGGAGCTGCTAGTGCAGCCTAGTGGTGAAATGTAAAATTTGTTACTATTGGTTTTGTGGGTGTGGCTTGAGGGGAGTTAATGTGACTGGATGGGCCTGGCCAACTTTTTTTTTTTTACTTTTAAAAGCATTTTTTCTACAACCTTAAGAAGTTGCCTGATGATCAGGCAACTCAGCTGGGATCATCAGATGGTTTTAAAAGCATTTTTTTCTTCAACCACTTCGGCCGAAGGTGCAGAAAAAATGCTTTTAAAAGCCTCTGATGATCCCAGCTGAGACGCATGCTGTCATCAGCAGCTTTTTTTTTTACTTTTAAAAGCACTTTTTCCGCCGAAGAGGTTGTAGAAAAAATGCTTTTAAAAGTTAAAAAAAAAGCCTCTGATGATCGTGTGGCTCAGCTGGGCATGGTGGTGGTGGTGGGGGCAGGGATTTTTGCTACCGGTTCTCCAAACCACCCGTTGCCATCGCTACCAGATCGGGCAATCCAGTCCAAACCGGGAGCATTTCACCGCTGGTGCAGCCATATTCAGTCTTTTTCTGAAGCAATGCTCATAGTTTTATTAATTCTTGGCTTACAAAACTTACCAGGGGCACTAAGAGAATGACTATTCATGAACAAAGCTTGCCCCCTATAGGGTATTATAAAACTGCTCTCACACAACCATAGAATTTGGGTGTGCAGTGGTGTCATGGTGAAGTCAAATACACATATTATAGGTAGACCTCAACTTATAAT